TTTTTTAAAAACAAAATTTTAAAAAATTTTTCCTGCATGTACAAATACTTTTTACACTCATTATAAATGCTAAACCCGATGTCATGCAATTATTGACTATATTGTCTTATTTTCTACTCAGTTTGCGCGTTCTTCAGTATAATAAAAATATATTTGATTTATTCTGTAGTTAATGAACGCTGCGTCTGTACTGGGATTTGATTCCTTCATAGTAACTACCATAAACATATTTCCGGAACATATACAGCAGCTTCTTGCTGTTTATAAGAATGGAGATATATTAAAAGCCAAGGATATGCAAGAGAAGCTCACAAGCGCTGTGGTTGCTATAATGAAACATGGTAAGTGTATTTTTTTCATCTGATGAAATGCAGATCGATTGTTACAAAAAATCAATTATTTGTAGGTAATTGGGTGCAATCTATGAAAGAAGCAATGGTTCTTCTTACTGACATTAATGTAGGTCTACCTCGTGAACCAAATAAAGCTATTTCTTCTGAAGCTGTAGCAATTATGACGAAGGAATTAACAAACTTGGGATATCAGCCAAAAGTTAAACATTACTGAGAATATCTTAATTCTTTCTTCAATTTATCACGTTTGTGTACTTCATGACACCATATTATAATATAGTGTCATAAGGCATCATTTCAGATTTTCTAATGAATTGTTACTAATGAGCATAAATGTTATAATGTATAATGTAGTCTCTCAAAATTGTATACAGCAATTAAAAAGATTAACTTATATACAATAATGTTCAAAATGAATGAAAGTTGTGATTGTTACATATATTGCGTTATATTTTGTATATTAATTGTGTGTAAAATATAAATAATTATATAATTTATGCAGTATAAGTTTTTGCAAGTACGTATGCTCCAAGCTAAAAGTTTTAAAACATTAATTAATTTTTGTTTAAATTAACATTTTTAGGAATATTTACTTAAATATTTTTGTTAAATTGTAATGTGTTTTTTAACACTAATTCTTCAGATCTAATAAAATAATAATTATTGTATCTAAAGAATTATTATTTAAAAAAATTAATTCTTATGGATATTTGGATAAGTAATCCTAAAAATGTTTAAAAAGTCAATCAATATTTAAAAGTGCTTCCAAACTTTTTACTTGGGGTGTAGTATTTCAATTTATTTTTTCGTATATATTCTTATAGTAAAATTAGGTTTAATAATTATTATGATAACAAGTGAATAATGATAAATCTTATTCAGCATGTATATAAAAATAAGATTTATTTTTGTATTCATCAAATATTTATAAAGTTTTAATTTTCGTAGAAATTGTTTATGTTTAATTTATTCTTTTTCGTATTAGTTTTTATTTATTCTGAAGAGAAAAATATAATAAAACGAAATATAAAAAAAAATTTAACATTTTGTAATGAAAGTTAGAGATTGAAATGAGAATTTTAATTCGAGAAATAATCAAAACAGAATTAAAACACAAAATATTTATATATCTACAAATACATACATATATATGTAGAACGAAATGCTGATAATTAAATGAAATTTAAAATTAATTTGAAATTTTATTCAATTTTTAGTTTTTTCTTTTCAATTATCAAATAGATATATACATATATTGACATATATCCCTACCAACATATATTATACAGTTTAATAGTTAGATTTATTATGTCTTTTAATTATTAATTATTAATTTTTAATTATTAGTTTTTTAAATAAAACTTAATTAACCGATCGCGAAATTTTATTCAAGCGTCATTTAATTTGTGTGTGTGTGTGTGTGTGTGAGAGATACAATTCAATTTTTAAGTTTAAAATAATAATTGTGTTTATAGTCCTACCTATCCATACTTATTGTCCTGCCTACCCGTATTTTTTCATTAGTGCATATCAAATTATTGTGATAGTTATTTTGAACGCGATGAAAGTGCTGTCGTAAATATATTAATGACTTTTTATCGCGATATTAATAAATTTTATAATTGTATGTTTATAATTAATCGTAAATACGAATAATAATTGTTGTTAGTATTTTATTCTGCTTTTCAATATTTCATTGGTTTAGAAAAATTTGTGTTATCGTATGTATTTTCGACGTTTTCGTATAATCGCATTACTAAATTTTATTAATTATGCTCATTATGCTTCTATAATATAATTTTTATTATATTTCGGACAGCATTTATACTGTATTGTATTGTAAGCAATTATTATTGTATTATTGTAATTATTGAATGTGTAAAAGATTATAATAAAAGATAATATTGAAAAAATTATGCAATGTAATTGCTAATTATTTTATTGTACTTTGCTGTATTATGTAATATGATTAACAAAATATAATAAAATAATTAGACAAAAATAAGAAATAAGTTTAAAATATATTTATCTGCAAAAACAGACTACTAAATTTATTAGTAGCTCGTTTTTTACGGGTAAGTATACAAAGAAAAGAGGATAAAATCGGCTGGGATAGTGGAGGATCTCTACAGATTCTTTTTTATTCATTAAAATTTTCTTTGCAACTTAACTTACTTTGCAATTTACTTTGTAGTTTAAATTAAATGTAGTTTACTTACAATTAGAAGAATTCCAACTTTATTCAAATTGCAAGATGAAATAGCGCATTGATTGATCCGCGATATTTCAGAAATTCCCGTCCTATAATATTATTTGTGTTACTTTTAAATGTCAACAATATAATTAAAATTAGATATTTTAAAGGTATTAACAAATAAATTTCTTACATTATACATATTTACTTTGAATCGTGATAAAGCTCTGCTCACTTTTGCACGTGACGATACAAAGCAGAGTTCTTATTGGATATCACGCGTCATCTCTCGTATCCAGTTCAGGAATTAATTTTAGCATGCATTTTTGCTATAATATACGTAACGTAATCTATAGCTTAAAGTTATCTGGGCGTAATTCCTGCACGCAGCCCAGTGTATAATAAGCATTAAGGCTGACATTCATAGTCGGTTTTTATTTCCCAGACGAAATTACGTATTTAAAAAGATTATTTTTATTATTATTAATCCCAGATATTTAAATAAAGTATTTAATATTTCAAATGTTCGATCAAGATATTTGAACCAATGGCGTAACATGAAAATAAGTAAATATAAAAATTAATCAATCATTGATCTGAAATAAAGAATATTACATTGGTTGACAAAATGCAATTTAAAAAATATAAAACGAGTAAATTTTAATTTAAAAAATTCTCTTATCCCTTCCATTCCAACTTGCAATGAATCTTGTTCGAACTGGTTCGTGTGTGTGTGCACGCGACCCATATTACTTTCCAACCTAAAAAAAATGGAAGCCACGAGTGTGGAGTGTAGTGATTTTTTAGAATTTCAGGTATTTTCGAAAGCAGAGCTTATATAACACTCGTGCATTCGCACGCCGCATTATACGAGCATATCAAACATTCATATATTTAACAATGCTTAAGTTAATTTAAAATAAAATATTAAAATTTTTTATAATTGATGCCGGCTAGTGGCTATTATCTTATATATTTATATGATATAAAAGAATTATGCTGTGGTACAAAGAAAGATTAAAAATTAATGCATAAAATCTCAATGTTACTATCAAACTTACATTTTTTTCTAGACGTATTTGTATATGGACAACTTTAGTGAGAGGTTAGGAACGTGTTTGTACGTGAAGTTAGCTAACAATAAGTGTAACAGAAATATATATGTATATTTAAATTCAAATATATATCACATTTCTACGTATACCTTCATATATCTTCTCATTTTTTTTAAATATCAGGGTTGGTAAAAAACATGTTTTAAACGTGCTTAATCGATGTTTTTAATATGTTTTAAATATATATTTTTTATTGTTTAAAGCATTTTTGAAACATTAAAAACATATTTAAGAAGGAACACAATATGTTTTATTCTTAAAAAAAAAAAACGTTAGTCTTTACCAATCTTGAAAAATATCAATACATAATTTTATTCAGATTATAGTATAAATACATGATAAATTATACAAGTAAAATAAAAACATATAATTTGTATTTCAGGATACGTTAAGAAAGATGCGACAAATAGATGATCAAATAATTTACATGCTGAACACTACAATTCCTACCGAATCCTTCAAAAGTCAGGTGGATCCTACCACGCAGTGTAAAGACTTGTACCAACAAATAGAATCCGAGCACAAGCAGAGGACACAAGCGATTACAAGATGTGTGAACATTACTAAGCAAAGATTGGTGCAGTTAAAAGATTTGAGAGAGAATGGTGACGAAAATCCGACATTAATAAAAAATTTGAGAAATGAACAGACCAAATTGAGGCTGCTACGGTCTGAGCTTAATATAGAGGAAGTTGTAAAAAAACGTACAATACAAGTGTATTATGAGAGGTGCCGTGGATTCTACAAACCATTACACATAGACGCATAGAATTTCCGAATAATCTGAAAATATTGATACATGATTATTTGAATGCTATTATTGAATTGTCATATATATAGTTATATATATAGTAATTTTGTAAACGTCACTGACAAGTTGGTTTTTTGAATCATTATTATTTTGCGATGATGTACAATATATATTGATTCTCTTATAAGAATTTATTGTAATCGTTCATTATGTACAAGGATATTTTACACAGATTACAGAGATTATACAATATATTTAAATATTGTAGCAATTAGAATGCTTACTAAATTTAATGAGAATCAGACATTTCATTACATATATCGATGATCTAAATGTAAATAAAATACATAATTTTACAATAGATATTTGTACATACATAGAATATATTTTACTGCTTTGTTACTACAAAAGATTTGAAAGAACAGCCTTATATATTACAAATACAAATCATTGGAACGATCAAAACTAAATGTTTATTATATAATATCTTTATTATTGTTAAAAAATATCATGTGGAAATCTCATTTTTAAATAATAACTAATCAGGATTTAAATAATATCCATCTGCTTCCCAGAAAATTTGTTCTAAAAATTAAATCCTAAAGATTTCTACATTTTCCTAATATTTACAATTTATTTCTTTTTATCTTCTGCCATGACTTCTTTGAGCCAGTCTTCTCTTTGTTTAAACAAAGTTTCTCCTCTTTTAGCTTGTCGTTTTCCAAGTATTACAGCGCCTATGCAACCAATTATGGTAAAAACTATCATATAATTACATGTCTTGATTCGTGCTTTACTTCTCGCACCGAGGATACAGTCCGTTCTGTTTAAGAAAATATTTATTTATTAAATGATATAAAATAAGATAATCACAAAAAAGTTTATTACATATGAAAAATGTTATAAATATATTTCTTAAATCCAAAATTTACTTCAAAAATAATATTATGAGTTATATTTCTTACAATTTTGTGATTGTCATTGTTAAAATTTTCTACTGAAGACAAATCAATTTCAAATATATCGAAATTTATGTTTTTGTATTAAATTTCTATTTTTTGTTAAATGATTTCATATGATATAAAAACAGATGCAACACATACGTAACGTCCTTAGGAACATCTGCAATGCTCGGATATCGATTTACCCAAACAAGTATTCTCTTGTCAAAATTAGTTACCCGATGCATGCGTGAACCTATAAAATGTGTACATACGTAAGAAATTACATTTTTATGTGTTTTTGACATTTTCATTTTGCACGTCTTTTTCAGAATTAAATCGCAAATTAAGTAGGAATTTGCAAATTACTAATAGTAAACTTTTAAGTAATAGTTCTTAAAAATAAATTTAACTACAAACAAAATTAATCGATTCTATTATTAATTTATATATAGAAAGAATTTATCTTATCCTTACCCATAACACTATCTTTTGTAGGTTCATTGTTTTTTTGTGCAGGAATTTTATCTACTTTATTAATTTCCCTTAAAATACTGCTACGAGTAAAATATCGTGTTATACGCAACTGAATATTACGAACAAATTGTCCTGACAGCATTCTATGAACAAAAATAATTGGTATATTAGTAGAATAAAATTATGAGGTATCTGAACTTCTTTTCTAGTTTTTATAAAAAATTATTTTACAGAGTATTTTCGAGATAATCTTTCGAAATTTAAAGTGTCAATGTTATTTTTCTGAAAATTTCTAAACCAAATTACAGAAAAATTTTATATATGGAAAAGTAAAAGAATTTGTAAAAAAATATTCAAGAACTTATACAAAAGAAAGAGTATATTAACATTAGAGAATATTGACTTATCTCAGATAATTTTATCTTAATAAAAAATTTTTTTTCCAAAAGCAATGGTATAAAGTAACAAACATTTAATTTTAATCATTAGACTGCTTTATAAAACAATGCTGAAAAGAAATCTTTTTAGTTCTTTTAAAAGAGTTTATTTCGACATTGAAAAAAAATTAAAAATTTCTTTTTTAATTCTTTTATCCAGATTTTAAAAAATTTGATGTTATATTTAAAAAGTGCAGCATTAATAACTAATTTACAATCCTGTTGAAAAATTATCTTGAAAGTTAAAACTTTGATGCTTAAAATTGTTACTAAAATACCATTAGTAAAATGCAACCAAATATCACAAAATCACATATGTATACATAATAAATTCAAATAAAAGAAGCAATTATACAAAAATTGAGTTCACTGATTAGACAATTATTAAATCTTTGCTTGATAATAAAAATTTATACTCTAACATAATATAAAATCTAATTATAGAGATTAAAAAGCAAGTGCTTTGTGAAAAAACCACTTAAAAATTGGAATTAATCGACATATTGCATCTCACGACAATGCGGAAATCAATGCTAAGATATGATATCTATACAGTCTCTGCAAAATATAAAATATAATACAATTATTGTAGTTATTGTAATAATAATTGAGTATTTTATAATTATTGGGACACTAATACACAATTATTTTAATTGTTACAACAGAAAATATATCTTTCAAAATTAACACTTCGCAATATAATTACAGAATACTTCACACATTACGATAACAAATTTTGTTTTTATAATTATATTTCTGGTATTTTTATCTTCTCTCTTTTTTTTCTGAAGTTTTAATCAGGTATCTCACTTTAATGCAGGGAATGTAAGCAATAAACAAAATATTAGCAGTATGCCAAAATTCTACAACAAATTAACTAAAATTACATTTGCATTAAACTCTGTTGGTCTGTCAGTATAAAGTCTACTAATATAATCTAATATCTTGTATCAACAGAAAGAGATCGAGCAAAATCTATTATTTTTAAATAAAATAAATATATCATTATTCTGTCATCACTTTTCGTATTCTTAGCAGAATCTATTATTTGCTGGCATTCTGCTGATAAAAATTTAAATAATTTGCAAAATCTGAGTTTTTCAACAAATTTAACTATTTGCGATATAGTGCAGGATAAAGAAGAAATTTAATGTGAGATTTAATTTAGTAATTATCAGTGCTATATTTTTAGGTTATGTTTGTGTCTATTAATAAAAAAAATTTAATTTGTGCAAAGTTACGACGTAGTGAGCTACTAATTACTCTGCAAGAAATATTACATTTTACGTTTTCTTTCCTAAGATATATTTAGTATCATTATTCATTTATTTAGGAATCAATTGCAAATCAAAGTCTTGCCGTTTGACAGCTATTCACCACATTATCATACAAAGTTTCTTAATATGCATGATATATCATAAAGTTCTATGTTGAATGACACGCACTTTTTTTTTTTAAATAATTATTGTGTGCTCAGAAATAGTTTGTAATACAAACAAGAACCATCACACTGCTCTTTACGCACTAACTTATGCATTTGTTGGTCTGTTTTCTGTTCCTGCACTAGACTGCACTAGCACTCTCTTTTTCACTTTCAACAAATCAAACCTATCTCATTTCAAATTCCAAAACTGCACTAGTTCAGCAGAAAACAGACCTTGTCACCTTGTATCTGCCTGTCTGATCTGATTAGATGGGTTAGACCTTGACACTGACATCCGAGCCACCGACGAGATATTATTAAAGACCGACATTTTTACGGGAATTAGTGCTCCTGTTAAAATTCAAAATTAAGAGTAGGAAACTAATAATATAGTATTAATTTTATGATTATATATATATTAGTTTGTAACACATACACACACACACGCGCGCGCGCGCGCACGCACACAACTAATTATTTAATGCCTAGTTATGTCCCTAAAATCTTAAAATTCAGCCAATGGAATACAGATTTCATTTAGGACTGACAGCTCTATTAATTGAATTTTAGGATTTTAGGGTTGACCCGAAACATAAACCGTTGTTAACATAAATATTTGGCTAATATATTATTAAATTTATGATCTTTCATTACATAAATGCTTCGTAAATATGTACTTGTAATATCTTTATATACTGCCGTCCCATTTTTTTCTATAGTTATCTCTCTTGATAATCAATTTTGGATGATAACATTAAATCACAGTTTTAAATAAAAATTCGAGTATTTGAGTTATGTCTATCAGCAAATTTATATCAATTGTCAATAATGTCAACGTTCAATTATCTACGAGCCCTCGGGGCCCATTTTGTGAGAACAAAAATTGCTCAGGGTAGACGACCTATAAATTCAAATGGGATTATACAATTATAAAAAAAATATCTTTATGTATATTACTATATTTATTTTTCTTTAAGTAACTTTCCTGATAATAAAAACAAGATTATATAATCTATTTTTCTTTAAAACTTAAAAATTAATTCTGTTGAATATATACATATATCTTAAACACTAATTCGTATTTCTATATATTATATAATGAAGATATTTTTCTTTATAACTTAAATAAAATATTTTATTACATACACACACACACACACACACACACACACACACGCACGCACGCACGCACGCACACGCATACACATACATGTATGTTTAAATGAAATATTATATTTTCGCATTTTTATTATATAATGAAAATATTTGCTTGATCAGTATAGATTATATTGATTTAAAAATGAAAAATCAATACAGAATAACAGAAATCATCACGAGAAGCAATACTAAATAAAAAAGAGAATTCTCTTGTCTGTGTTACGTAAGTTGTTGTATGTGGTTATGCAATTATTTCTCCTTGCAATTATATTGTCTTATAATTTGTTATACACTATGTTATATCACATTATGCATTCAGTTCTTAAATTAATTTTGTAATACATATATTTGTTTCGCGTAATTTCTCCTTTTCATTCACTGTAATTTTTTAACTTCATTTTTGTACCATGAATAATTTGTTTCTATGTAAACAAAAAAACATCTTTTCAAACCAGATTAAAATACGTTTCTGCAAATTGGACAGGTAGATTTTTGACTTGTACTGAACCACTTGTACTGAAATAAAAAATATATATATAATATATAGAAAGATATTACGACATAAATGTTAATAAATAATGTATGCTCACCAAACAGCGAGTATGAAACTTCTTACGACAAGTATGACATGACAATTTTGGTACTTGATATGTACTGATATGAAAAATGCTAAAACATATATAACACTCTTCGACACCGGCAAATTTTTTATCCAAATTACGTTTCCACATTAAAAGACCGTCCCAAACAGAGCCATTCTATAAAAAATATATATATTTAGAACATATATTTTATAACATATACATACAAACATATTGCGACTTACTTGATGTGTGAGAAGTTTAGACAGTTGCATATGACAATTTTTCCATTTTGCCATACCATCTACTTGTTGACCAGATTCTACTTTCACTCTACCTAAAGGATAGTTTGGTGGTAGCACTATACTTAATTCTAATTTTGTATCTTCCATTTGATACACAGCTACTACTTCCCTTGCTGTAGAGTGTACTTTTACCTATAACAACACAAAGCACACGATATTAAACTTGATAATAAACAGAAATCTTTAAATACAACCTATTGAAATAATGGCTTAAATAAATCTTTAATAAAATTAAAATTTGTATATGGACGAAGCAGAGTTTGAGAGAAAAAAACATACCTGCATATTTTCAACATTAGCCAATTGTAATCTGCTGTAAAGAAGCTCATCTTCACATAACATAGGACTAACATAATGACTTGTAATCTTGTCTACTGTTGCACTGACTCTGCTATCAACTGTACTTAGCCATTGTCTAACTAATACTGGTAGAAGCCGCAAACAATTTGTATATAACCAACATACAATATGATCTAATCTCTCTTCCGTCCAACTTTCTATAATATACATATATTGCGATGTAATAAAACAATATATAATAAATCAAATTTTATGTAAATGTAATATTAATTTTAATAGTACCTTTGAAACGAAAAACTGGAGCAGTGGTAAATAGTTCTAGCAACTTTACGGTTTTATTTTTATTATCTTGTAACGCTTCCATAGGTATTAACTTGAAGATATTATCCAACAGATAAGGGAAAAGTTTAATTCTAAAATTTAAAGTAATGATAATTAGTATAAAAAATGTAAAATGATAATTAGTATAAAAAATATAATAAATAAAAATGTTATAAATAATACAGAAATCACAAAAATGGATAATGTGCATTATAATACTTAAAATATTTACTTCAATATTTCAGCATATTGATATCGTAAATCACTATGAGACTTTTCGCAGATATCTAATACAATTGCCCATGTTAATAGATATCCTAATGTATATGTGTAAGAATCTGTAAACGGTTGGATTGTGCAGGTAACTGTATCACATAATCTAAAAAAAGACAATATTACAATAAATGATTAAAAAAATATGATGATTCAATTAAAATTTAATATAAAGCAGAGACTCACTTGAATTCCATAAGCATTGTATTTATAATAGTCTGCATATTTGATAGTACTTCTTCGAATTTTTTAATATTAAGATTACTCGTCTCGAAGTTGTCAGATTCAATAAGAACTTTATCATGTTGTACAAGTTCCGGTACCATATATTTCAATACATAATAGGCACCCAATTGAATGCTAGGAACAGGAGATTGTAGTAATTTCAGAGATAGCATTAACATCTTGTTGAAATCAATCGTTTCGGTTTGTTCATCATAATTTTTGAATAATATGCTACTGTCAAATGCACAAATTGCCTTTCCCAAGTAATTCAATGGTATAATAGATTTTATAATGTCCGTATTTTGATTGCATAAATCTGCATAAAATATCCAAGTTTGAACAATGCCATTATATATATTGCCAGCAATTACATTTTTCCATTCATCTAAGAGTGTTGAAGGTAATTCTGGTATTGGCTTCAATTTATGTTTGTTCATCAGAGTTTCAACTGCATAATACAATTGACTAAATGCTATTATCAACATTGTTATTTTAATGTCACTATAATTATGTTTGGCGTTGTTATATAACTGTTGCCACTTTGTGAGAAATATCAAGATAACATCCCAATATTCTTGTTTCAACTTCTGCGGAATATGTTGAACAACTGTCTCAAACAATCTTATAACTTCTAGCTGCAAAAACAATTTATCCCATGAAATATCAGAAATATCATGATCCAAAACTGCAGAAAGTGCATTAAAATGTAACATAATTGTATGATCCATAATAGGATCATATAATGAAGGAGGTTGATCTTTGGGAATGTTAGATATCATAATTCTTGTGGCAATTATTGAATATATTTCGCCGTGTGTTAATATTTGCGAAACATTTTGTGGCCAATTTAAGATTTGTAATATTTGAATATTCGTTTCATCATCATATTCTCCTGCAATTTCATTGCTGTTGTAATTTTCAAAATATTTCATGGTATTCTCAAGTTGATCTTTCGAGAAAAATTCATTGTAATATGTATAAATTATATATGGTAGCATACATCCATAACTTTTCTGATTTGTTTGTATACGTGATAATATATCATCATGGATATTCTTTGTAAAATATTTATGCAAATTAACAAAACTTTTTTTGAGCAAATTACGAAATTTTTCAACATTATTATAATATTTAGTGGATTTATAATGCTTACTGTATATATCTACTATGCTAACTACGTATATAATATCTATTAATATCTCCATAATTCCTGATAAATTTAAATCGTTTAATTCAAAATTTTCTTCTTCTGAAACTGTATTAGCATTTTCTGAATCAATGCCTTTTAGTCTCTCGTACAGATTATTAAGCAAATCAGTGATAAATAAAGCCCATAATAAACAATTTATTGTATTATCCGAAGAGATATCGTTTATTATATTGATAGATGTAGGTTGTTGTAAAATCCGTATTTTCTTCTCAACATTGGACATATATAAATAGCCTGTTAACATTTCGCCACATATTGCAATAACGGTTATCTCTTCAATCCACAACTTTATGTCAGATGCCGTTAGGAATGACAGAATAGTTTCTTCAATGCAATCACATTTTGTAATGTCAATATTATTAATTATAACTTCTAAAACATCTGTTGCCAAATTAACTAATGTATTCTTAATAGGATTTCCGTGTATATTATATATTTTACTCCAGATAATAATACCATATCTTTTAATAAGATTATTAAATTCAAAAATAGACAATTTTTGGCTACTTTCTACGAATCCTTCTTTCCAACAATTACGTATAGTATCAGCAGTTAAAGCATCATGTTCTCGAGTGCATAATTCAAAAAGTGTTTCCAATATTTGTACAGCACTTGATATTGTTCGATTATGTTTCCACATTAAAATCATCAATTTCGTAATAAATGCAACAAATTGCATGGAGCAAGTATCATCTCTTCCATTTAATGAATCACATAGAATCGATACAATTTCACTTGTTCCTTCATTATTTATTAATAAATCTCTAATTTCCGGAATTTCAAAAGCTGATAAAATCAAATTTTGATTTTTTTCAAAATCATACTGTTCATCGCTGCATGAAGCAATTTCTTTGGTGATATCAACTAATAGTTTAGATATATTAGCTTGTGTATACCATTTTTTAATTACGCTATCATTTCTGTTAT